CATATGCAATGGGAATCCAGCCGCCGCTCCCTGCCCAGGGAAGTCACGGGCCTGTGTCCTCGGACTGCACAGCTCTTCTGTGCTGGATGGACCCTTCAGGAATGTGTGAGTCTCTCTGCGGGGTGTCTGCTCTGGTCTTCTGTCATCTGTCTGCCCTGGAGCCAATAACATGCTTCCTGAGACTTGGTATCTGACAGGGCAATCACCCCTCCTTACACCCTGCTCTTCAAATTTGTCCTTACTGGTTGTTATTGAGTTTCGCTTGTCCACATTTTAAAGTTAGGAACCATCCGTCAAGTCACACCAAAACTCTCTGAAATCTGGTTAAATTTGACATGCATTAAATTTAAAGATAAATTTGGGATGATGTGACATCTTCACTATTTCAGTCTTCTGATTCGTGATCATGGGATAGCCCTCCACTTATTTAGGTCTTTCTATGTCCTTTAGCAACATCTTACAATGTCAAGTAATCTAACTGAATTTACTTCTGGATACCTTATCATTTTTGTTGTTAACATAAGTGGGACTTCTTTTCGGATTATGATTCCTGGTTGTTTTCTTTTGCACAAGATACTGTTAAATTTTATCTCTGTTGCTCTCACATGATTATCTGCCCACCAGAAGAACGCATTCATTCTAAAAGTTGGTCTGTATAACTGTGTGGATTTTCTATTTGGCTAATATCATCACTGGAAGATAGGCCCAGCTTTTATTTCTTTCTTTCAGTGTCTGCATTTCTACTTCTTCATTTGCTTGTTTTATTAAACTGGCTAAGACCTTTAGTGACAGCAGTATTTTTGTGTGACTCCTGATTTTCACAGGCACAACTCCATTATGTATGATGAATGCTGTATGTTTTGACAAATACATTTAAAGCAGGTCACAGAGTTTGGTTTGTAAGAGTTTTGTTGCTATTTGTTTTGTATTGTATGAGTGAAGAACAATATTAAATATTCTGTCTCTGGTAAGATGATAATTCCTCCCCCCTTTAATCTTTTAACATGTTAAATGTGTTCATAGTCTAATGATGGTAAAGAATCCTTGCAAGATTATAGCAAACCCAATTTGGTCATAACATTTGTTTGGTTTTCGTTTCATTTAAGAAACTTAAATTTGGTTCATAAATGTTTTCCATAAACTTTCTGGTTGTCTGTTAACGTGAAATAGGCTTACATTTGGATTTCTTGTACTGTCTCTTGCAAAGCTACAAAACATTATAAAAATGAGTGGGATGACTCTTTCCCCTACCTCTCTAACAGTTCCTATAAAGAAAGCAATTACTTATTCATTAAAGGTTTCCTGACACTCTTAAACTCCCTGAGCATTTTGGGGGGGATGGCATTGATTACAGACTCCATTCTTCCAATGGAGAAACAAAAGTTGTTTCTTTAAGATTTTGTATTTCTCCAAATGTCAGTTAGGTTTTGCTTTGTCTTTCTCTTTCAACTATTATTCTCTATTTCTTTAGAATTCTCTACTTAAAACTTTGAGTGCTATCTATACTTCTCAAAGCTATCTTTTCCATCACGTCATATAGTACATAATTCACATTGCACAGAAAAAATATTCTTGGTTTTCTTAGGTAGGCTTTTTCTTCTTCCAATTGGGTCCCATTTTTTTTTTTAAGACTTTACTTTTTAGAGCAGATTTAGGTCAACAACACTGAGAGGGGGTACAGAGATTTCCCATACAACCCTCACCCCAACCCCATGCACAGCCTCCCCCAGAATTAGCAACACTCATGAGAATAGTACATTTGTTACCAAGGATAAACCTACACTGACAGGGAATTCCACAGTTAACCTTTAGGGTTCACTATTGGTGTCATGCCTTCCACGGGTTTGGACAAATCTATCCATGAGTATATCCAGCACTGTATCATCATGTACAGATTCACTGCCCTAAAAACCTGCTGTGCTCTGCCTATTCATCTCTCCCCACTACCCCTGGCAACCACTAACCTTCTTACTATCTCCATAGTTTTGCCTTTTCTTCAACATTCAATAGATGGAAAGATACATTTCAGAGCCTTTTCTAATTGGCTCCTTTCACTTAGTAATATGCATTTAAGGTGCCTCCAGGGCTTCTGATCGCTTGATAGCTCATTTAGTCTCAGTGACAGAATACTCCATTGTCTAGACGTGCCCCAGCTCATGTATCCATCACCTACTGAAGGACTTCTTGGCTGCTTTCAAGTTCTGGCAATTATAAAGCTGCTACAAACATCCATGTGCAAGTGTTTGGGTGGACCTAAGTTTTCAACTTGTCTGGGTAAATACCAAGAAGCATGATGCTAGATAATCTGGTAAGAGTCAGCGTCCTAAGAAGCTGCCAAAGTGTCTCCAAAGTGGCTGCACCATTCTGCATCCCACCAACCATGAGTGAGAGTTCCTGGTGCTCTGCATCCTCATCAGCATTAGGTGTTACACTTTTGTTTTTATATTTTTGCAACACATTAGCCATTTCCCTCATGTTTTCACATTTATTGGCATTAAGTTGTTCACATTTATCTTGTTTTATTTTTTAACTCTCTGACATACTCTTCACATGATTTTCCTGTGTGCATACCTTTCTCCTAAGCATCTGCCCTAGGTTTGTGGTTTCCAGAGATTTTATAGATTTCTGATTTCGCTCTTATCTCTTGATACTTTCTGTATCACTTCAATAATGTCTACTCTTTATTTTCATAATTATATCCTTCTACATTTCTTAGTTATTCAGTTCTCATTCTTCTAATTTGAATTTTTCTTCATTTAAAGCTTAAATCTGAGACTCAAACACCTACTTTTAGCAGCATTATATAACTTTCAACCTATAACACATTCACTTTTCATTCAGTTCCAAATAACTGATATTTTTACTGTGATTTCATCTTTAATCCATGAGAGAAGTAAGGGTGTATTTTAAAGTTTCCATACATGTTTACATGTTTTCGAACTTCTGCTGACTTCTAACCTAATCTCACTTAAAGCTGCTTATAATTTAGTGCAACATTCCATGTATGATCAACTTTTTAACAAGTTACACAGATCTTAGACAAGAATCAGGAATCTGTGTGTTGGGTGCAGAGTTCTATGCATTTTTGTTCAATTGAGCCGCTAGACTAGATCTGGCATTTTTTAAATGCCAATAAGTGTAGATTTCATTTCCAAAATTTCTAAGGGACTCTTCCTCACACCTATCTGTTCTTGCTTCACTTCTTCCCATCGTGTTTCTGAGTTTCTCGTCCTCTTTTATGGATGTTACTCATTCAGTCATCTCCCTGAGCATTACAAATACTTATTCAAACCTTTTGTCAGATTTACTTTTACTGCATATGTAACCTGGCAGTCAGTTGATTCTGTGAGCTGTGTCTTAGTAAGGAGACTGCCTCATAAGCTTGGGAGCAGGATCTGCAGACCTTTGGTGTGGGCTGTGCTCTTTTTCCTTTCGCCCTCTGCCCCCCGCCATGGCAGTGGAGGGGGCGTTCAGGCTGCCTGTGGGAGACTGTGCAGGCTGAGCCAGTCACTGAGCTGTGAGGCCACGTGGGCCAGCTCTGGCTCTCCTGGCTGTGCCCGGCTGACCATCTAGAAGGCCAGCCATCAGTGGAGACTTTTCAGTCTGTCACCTGGTGGACGTGGGTGCTCACTGCTCTGTGCGAATGTCTGTCTGGTGTCTGAGCCAGGCTGAGTCCTTTTGATTCTCCTGTTTTACATGCTGCGTGTGTAGAATTATCGGGACTGGAGGCAAAGGTGGACAACATCATGGGTGTGCTTAAAAGGACTGACTCCCTGGGACGCTGAGTTCAGTATGGAAACAAGCTCACTCATGCCTCTAAAGCCCTGCTTCGGGGCTGGGATGTGTCAGATGCCAGCCTCTGCCGCCCACTGCACACCTCCTGACCAGGAAAGAGAAGTGGCTCTGTTCCACCTCTGTGCCTCGACTTCCCTTTACCTGCACTACCTGAGCAGGTGTGGTACTGTGGGACACTTGAATGTATAGCTGAAAGGCACAGGAAAAGAGATAAGCTTCAAAACATCCTTTCAGTGTAATTTTTCCTACAATTAACATAAATTTTTATATGAACATTAATACCCAAAACTTAGATTATGCTAGTCTAAAAGAGACCATTTGTCGGCAGTGAAAGGTAATAAATTAAAATTTTCCTGAGTTTCAAAGCCAGTATTAACAAATTGAGACTTTCCTTTGTATCATCTCACTTGAAAGTTTTCTACAAGTTGACCCTGAAGTTATGTCTAACACAGAAAGTCCTGACTACTTCTATGACTCCTCTAATACTTGAGAAAAAAATCTCTCTGACTTCACGGTCAGCTTCCAGCTTTAGTTTTTGCTAAATTTCATTCCTTTCTCATTAGGCAATATTAAAAATCTGATTATTCTAATTCCTACCAGCTCTAAACACTACAGTTTCTTGTACCTATGCTCTCTAGTAATCAAACAACTGCCATGTGCACTTTTCCTGTTCTGTCCCATCATCAGACCGCTTCCCTTCCTGGGCTCCCGTCCTGAACCAAAGTTTACATCCATTAGCCCTAGTTTACTAACCCCTCATCCTGCTCTTCCTTGTGATGACCCCATCAGAAATTAAATAGAAGAGAGAGAAAGAACCACAGGAAGGTGAAGAGTTACCAAGACTGCATACACACAAAACTGGCTTCAGTGTAAATATAAAAATGCCAAAACTAAGAGTAGTTCTCCATAGACGAGCCCTCAATACCCAACATCAAGATGCCTCTGAGCTGAATCCTGGGACAACTCATAGAGAAGTGACTGAAATTTCACTCACTGAAGTTGGTTCATTGAAGGGAAACATATGAAGATATCACAACCTAGTATTTTTGTCAGAATTTGTTTTCCTTAAAGGAGAAAGAAGAGCTGAGGTCAGAATCTTGTATTAGTACCAAGAATAATTTCTTAGACCACAAACCCCCAGCATCCTTGCAAAGCGTGGCTGGGGGTCACAGCATTGGTGACACCGGGCTTTTGCCGTTTCTCACCTTGGTGACTGGCGAGCTGATCAGACTGTGCTGGGAAGCCAGGTCCTGCCAGATCCTGGGCACTGTGAGGGGAGGTCTGCTCCACCTGGTCCTAGAGCACACAGGAACAGAAGGCTCTGGTCAAAAGGAGCATTTCACACCTGTGCAAATCCACCACCACCAGCATATCCTTCTTCCTCAATTTTTTACTTACACCTGATTTATTTACTTTTTTAGTTTTAAATGACAGATGTTTAGTACACTGCAAAAGGGAAGTTAACCATGAAAAGGTGCAACCTGCTTGACCAGGAAGTTAGAAGAAAAGTTATTCCTTTTTCTGGCTTCAATTGCTTCCCATGACAAAGGGGCGTTTCTCAAACATATCTCAAACGTATCTCAAATGTATCTCAAAGATACATATACATAGGTCCATGATTCTCACTGGGAAAATCTGGGGAAAAATCCATCACTGTCAACTGATGGATTTATGTAATGAATATAAATTATCAACATTCCAAGGAACATATGCATTTGCTCTAACAATTACTGGTAATCAAGCCCTAGGCGGTTTGTGTCTGGTACAGAAACATTCAGAGACTGTTTTATAAGTGGCCCGCTCCACAAAGTGTAAGGTAAGGAGCTCAGCGGCATTTTTTAGACATCAGGATGAGGGCAAAAATTTTAGGCAAAAGTTAAAACATCAGTATTACAGCCAAGCCCACAATTCAGAAAAACATCTTCATGGGATTAGAATTAAACCAATAAGAGATAAATTAAAATGTGGAAAAAGAAAATGGGTCATTTAATATTTACATGCTTGTGATGAAATCTAAGCAATGGTTACCTTGGAATGGAAAATGTCAAACTTCTCTTACAGATCTAAGAAATCTTTGAGATTTGCATAATGCATATACATTACCTCTGCAATTAGAAAGGTTTTAGAACTGTGTCAAAATATAAGATCTGCAAGGAAAATCTATTAATATTGATAAGACACTGACACAAATATGGTAGTTACTGGCAGCCACCTCATCTCTACACAAAAGAGCCTCCCGGGGCTGCAGGCTGTGCCAATGGCACATCCCATGCATAAGCACGGGCACTAGCCAACAAGCGCATCGAGGTTCCTGCTGGGCCCAACTTCCATTTCACAGATGAGGATGAGAAGGCCCAGGAAGGCTACGTCCACCCTACTATCCCCGAGCCAGTAGGACTGGAACCCAGGCAGCCAGGTGTCAGAGCCCATGCGCCTTCCTGCCCAAGAAACTCAAAAAATACATTTATTTTGCTAAGGTGCATGTGGCCTTGAGAGCTCCCCAGTAAGAGGCTTCTCCGCCCAGCACCTGCCTATGCTAAGTATGGGGATGGGCCCTCTGCCCACTGTGGGGGTCAGCCAGCAGGTGAACGAGGCGAGGGGCCAGTCCACACAGTGCTGGGGGCCACTCCCAGGATTGGGTGAGGCAGAGTCCTGACGGGCCAGCTCCCCACCCCCGGAAGGAAGGAGGAAGACGACTCCTGCCCAACACCCCCAGCCGGGCCCTGCACGTTCATGTCTTCCTGGGAAAATCTGGGGAAAAACCATCAGACCCCCCAAGGTGTGGAAGATATTTTCATTTGCTTCTCTCTCCTTTGTTCTCCTCTTTCAAAAGAAATAGCTTTTTGATTTTTAATCATGGGTGAAATACTTGCTCATTATGAAAATCTACATGCTAAAAAGTATTTTAAAAAAGTAATCAAACCTCTCTGACACAGGGATGTTATCCTCTCCTTTTTTTAGTCTGTCCTTTCAGACAAAAAAGAAATGTACACACGTTTTATGTATGTACGCAATGTCTGAATTAGTTATGAGGCATATATGCTATATATGTTATATGTAAATCACTTGGGGGTTCCAAATTACCCTGATAAAAAAGGGAATAATAATCATCTGACATGTACTACTGTATTTTAACACATCTTTCTGAACATTTCCATGGCAACAAGCAATCCCCAGAGCTCTAAGTGGCTGGGTGACATGACCCCTTTAATCAAGACTCTCTGGTAAACACAGAGCGTGAGTTTCAGGTTAGGAAAGAGGAGAGGGGTTGGTGTGGAGGTCTTGGCGTCTGGGAGGCAAGAGCAATGCCACCAGGAACCCTGCCCAGGTAACCCACATGGAGCTGGGATTCCCAGGTTAGTGACAAGTGGTACCTCCCAAGACCCCAAATTCAGTGGAGTTTCCCCACCTGGAGTCACTCCAGCTAGTTGCTGCAATTTCACAGCCAGTGTTTCTCCATCCAGGAAGCTCTCTACCATCTGAGAGAAATATTCTTTCTTTCTTTTCCAGATTTTAAAATGATCCACATACATTTTTGGAAATACAGAGCAGACATAAAATAAAAATGAGGCTCATCCCATGGCAGTGGGTAACTTAGCTTTCTCAGGGACTTTTTGCACCTCTATTATTCATACCTAGACAATGTCAAAATCATGTGGTATAAATGGTTTTGTTTTTGCTTTTTAACCCCAAATAACATCACAAGAGTACTTTAAAACCTTGGAAAATATTTTTTTCAGATTCTGAACTATTCTAGCAGGCACTTTCAGTCATTTGCCAATTTCAAATAGCATAAATAACAATCAATTGAACACCTGTGTGCATAAAACCTTGTCCATGTTTCTCACTACTCAGGATCCCTAGAACTACTAAGCTAAAGATGACATGTGGGACGTTCAGGGGGGGATGGGAGGCTAGATACACACTGTCAAACTCTCTCCACACAGCTTCTCTTCCACCCCAGAGCGCTGCCCTTTCCGTAATGTGCTAGGCAGCCAGGACTGTGATGGGTGATTTTTCTGCAAGTTTCTGCTTGTCAATCCCAGAGGTAACAGTTTTTACGAGCAGATCTTAAATACCAAGGATGAGTATTTTTCTTATGCTTATTAGCCCTTTCCTGCTTTTGGACTATCCTTGGACAGGCCAGCTAGACGAGTGCCTGAGGGTCCTGGGCCCCCTCAGAATGAGCGGCAGCCCCACCTCAGCAGCAGAGGACATGTTACCTGCACTGGCCAAGCCACTTGGCTCATCTGTAAAATGTGTTAAACAACCCCTCAGAGGCTGCCAGGAGGGTTTATTTAGGGGTGAAGTGCAAAGCCAGAGCTGCCGCCTGGTGAGCACCCCTGAAATGACGGCCTGCTCATGTCCTCAGTCTGCGGAGACCTTGGTTCACTTCTTAGCTCCCCAGGATGAGCTACGTGTGGTAAGAAATGAATTCTGATCATTTCTGTTGCAAATTCTTTTCCCACCTTGTTCGTCTTTAGAGTTAATTATATTTCTGATTCTTGAAAGCTTAATTAAGTGGAGGTAAGTCTACTCAACTTTTCTTTTTAGTTCACTATTTTAAGTTTGACAGTTACCTTCCCCTGCTATCAAAAAAACTGAAAAACTTCATTTATGTTTTATTGTGATTTCTTTTCTGACTTGATGTATTTATTGCCCTTTTGACTATCCTACATTTACTTTGGTGGACAGTTAGAGGGAAGGCCATGAAATGACTGCCCCCCACCGGCACCCAGTTCACCCAGGCCCACTTGTCCCCTAGTGAGGAAAATGCATCACTTTTATCACACGTTATGTCATCCCACTTACACAGGTGTCTGGGTCCCACACATAAGCCTGTTAATAGGCCAGCGCCCTATGTTTTCCATTCTCACAGCTTCTAACGCGTTTATCAGCAGCAAAGTTTTTCCTTCTTGTTTCTCCTGCATGAATTCCTCACTTATTTTCTTCCAAAAAAACTTGAGAATAGTTGCAAATTTTGCTAAAATTATTTAAAACTTCTTATCTGGAATATTTAACTATACATAAATGAGTGATTAATAACCATTATAAATACCAATATTGCTAGTGGATCCTCTGATTGAAATTAGTATGTACATTGAGAGAGTTAAGCAAAAAGCTGTGTTACCTCCCACACTTCTAAGGGTGAGGGCCCAGCCTCCCTAATGCCCTGTCCCCACACAGCCCTTGTCTGGGGACAGCATGGCCCTACAGGTAAACAAGCACTCCGGGTGTCTGCTGTGCCCACTCACGTCTGAGACGGTCATTCACTCCACACCCTGCTAGGAATGAGAACTCCTCTTGTCAAAAACAAGCAAACCAGACCCCATCAAAACATCTATTTAGAAGACAGTGACTTTCAAACCTAATTTATGGCAACCTTATCTAAATAGCATCACCAGATCCAGCAAGTAAAAATAAAGGGTGTCCAGTGCAACTTGAATTTCATATAAACAGCTAATAATTTTTTTTTGGTGGGCAGCCCAAATACTGCATGGGACTTCTAAAAAAGAATCTTGTGCCTCATTTGAATTTAACTGTGCATCTTATATACTTTATATGGCAACTCCATACCTAAAGGACGCTTCTAAATCTGACAGGTTTGCATGACAAATTATAGCAGTAAGAACAAAATCTTGACAGGTGGCTCATTTGTTCCTATATAAAACTCCCAGGTCAAAAAAGAAACACACTTTTTAAAATTCAACACATGAAAGCTCCAGACAAGAATTCTATTATCTTGAAAAATGAAGGAAGATAAATAAAACAGTTTGAAAAATGTCAGCGTTTGTAAAATAAAGCCAAAACACAAAGGCAGTGGGGAGTAGTTCACCACCACAGTGGAGGAAAACTCCTGACAGACTGAACAGTCAGGTGCAAATGTCTGTCCACTCTTCAAAGGCAAACAATGGTACTTTGCCAGGTGCAGGGTGATAAAAACAGGGACAAGGGTGAAGGGCCTGTCAGTGAGTGTGCTGGCATGGTCTCTCCAGGTTCGTTTCTGTCTGGGCAAGTTTCCTGGCCCAGGTTAGTGAGTCACCCTGTCAGGGTCAGGACAGCAGGGTGACCCGGCTGTGGCTCTGGGCCAGCACTACAAAGCCACCCTATCTGCAGGAGCCCAGGATTCTTCTGTGAAGGTGGCTGCTAGCAGTGAATACTTCATTAAGCCAGAGCCCTCGATTACTATGCTACCTCCCTCCAGGGGAGATGGCAGCTGGGGAGAGTACAGACCAAGCCCCTTAATGAGAGCTGTGTGGGTACTTCACTACTTAGGGCAGGAGTCCCAAACCCAC